AGAATTTGTCCACAATTTTTCGTTACCAAACTACGGCTAAAACTTTTTGTGGCAAAAATTTGCCGTTTTCCGACACACGATTAAAATAACTGTCTCTTCTTACTGAGAATTCGTAAGGCAAGACAGTAGAAAGGAAATAATAATAATAATAATAATAATAATAATAATAATATTTAACGAAATTCTAAAAAATATATAAGTTGGTCCCAAGTGTACTGGTTAAGTTATATTAAATTTAATATTTTACTTAAATCGGTTCACACTAATGTACAAAACCAATTGTTTAACAGAGACATACGTTTTATAAACCCAATAAGAGATGAAAAATTAATTAAACGTTAGATATTCCAAAAAACATTTTTAACACTTTCAGTTTATTTACTTTTATTAATTGTATTTGCGATTAAAATTGCTTTTATTTAATTATTTATTTAAATATTTATTTATTTAATGATTGATTGATTGATTGACTGATTGATAAATTGATAGACTGGTAGACTGATAGACTGATAGATTGAGAGATCGATAGACTGATAGACCGATACACTTATAGATTGATAGACTGATAGATTGATAGATTATGGACTTATAGACTTACAGATTTATAGACTTACAGATTTATAGACTTGTAGAGTTATAGACTTACAGATTGATAGACTGATAGACTGATAGATTGATAGATTTAGAGACTTATAGACTTACAGATTTATAGACTTATAGATTATAGACTTATAGATTGATGACTGATAGACTTACAGATTTACAGATTTACAGATTTAGTGATTTACTGGTTTATTGTTTATTGGTTTATGTTATGCTTATTGATGTATGATTTATTGATTTATTGATTTCATTGTTATTGTTTATTGGTTTTATGATTATTGATTTATGATTTATTGATTTATTGATTTATTGATTTATTGATTTATTGATTTATTGATTTTATTGATTTATTAGTTTATTGATTTTTTGATTATGATTTATTGATTTATTGATTTATTGATTTATTGATTTATTGATTAATTATTGATTTATTGATTTATTGATTTGATTGATTTATTGATTTATTGATTTATTGATTTATTGATTTATTGATTTATTGATTTTATTGATTTATTGATTTATTATTTATGATTATTGATTTATTGATTTATTGATTTATTGATTTTATTGATTTATTGATTTATTGATTTTATTTGATTTATTGATTTTATTGTATTTATTGATTTATTGATTTATTGATTTATTGATTTATTTGATTTATTGATTTATTGTGATTTATTGTTTATTGATTTATTGATTTATGATTTATTGATTTATTGATTTATTGATTTATTGGGATTTATTGATTATTGATATATTGATTTATTTGATTTATTGATTTATTGATTTGATTTATTGATTTTATTTGATTTATTGATTATTGATTTATTGATTTATTGATTATTGATTTATGATTTATTGATATTATTTAGATTTATTGATTTTATTGATTTATTGATTTATTGATTTATTGATTTATGATTTTGATTTATATTATTGATTTTTGATTGATTTATTGATTTATTGATTATTGATTTATTGATTTATTGATTTATTGATTTATTGATTTATTGATTTATTGATTTATTGATTTATTGATTTATTGATTTATTGATTTATTTTGTTTATTGATTTATTGATTTATTGATTTATTGATTTTTATTGATTTATGATTTATTGATTTATTGATTTATTGATTTATGATTTATTGATTTATTGATTATTGATTTATTGATTTATTGATTTATTGATTTTAATTATTTGATTTATTGATTTATTGATTTATTGTTTATTGATTTTTATTATTGATTTATTGATTTATTGATTTATTGATTTATTGATTATTGATTTATGATTTATTGATTTATTGATTTGTATTGATTTATTGATTTATTGATTTATTGATTTATTGATTTATTGATTTATTGATTTATTGATTTATTATTTATTGATTTATTGATTTATGATTTATTGATTTATTGATTTATTGATTTATTGATTTATTGATTTATTTGTGATTTATTGGATTATTGATTTATTGATTTATTGATTTATTGATTTATTGATTTATGATTATTGATTTATTGATTTATTGATTTTATTGATTTATTGATTTATTGATTTAATTGATTTATTGATTTATTGATTTATTGATTATTGATTTATTGATTTATTGATTTATTGATGTATTGATGTATTGATGTATTGATGTATTGATTTTGATTTGATTTATTGATTTATTGATTTAATTATTATTTGTTTTTTATATGTGGAGACAATTTAAAGAAAAAAATTGAAGCGCAAATTACGCAGAAACTTATAAAACATTGTACATGACCTTCTGTAAAGCGGTAATTTTGTACAATAGTCTGTGAGCCAAAAACCTCTAGAATTAATTTTGTACTTAAAAAAAATATTTTTGCAATTTCCGAAAAATGGTATTATCACCGAAAATGAGACCTGCATCATTCTGCATAAAACCAATTCTTGTGCATTATTCAACTACAAAATTTAAAAAAAAATGTGGAGCCATTTTTTGAAAATGGGGCTTCATGTAAAGTATCTCAAAAAGTAAAATATCGGTCTGAAATTCCATAGGCCGCGGCACAAGCCATATCGATGGGGGAATATCAATTTTGGAGAAAATCGGCTGAACGGTTTAAGCCCTTTGCATTGACTTCAGACGGACGAACATACGTTTTGCCGTCAAGCGATTTTTCGGCACAATGAACCAACAAAACAAGGATTCTGGCTACACCTCCTGTCGGAGGATTTTCCTCTTAAATTTAGCAAGAGGATTTATCCACTTTTTCATTACCAAAGACCGGCTATAAGAATTTTTTCTGGCGAAAATTCGCCATATTTCGGTACCAGATTACATAACATTCTCTTCTTTCGAAAAATTCGTCAGTGGAGAAAGTAAAAACCACGATAGCAAAGCGAAAAGAAAACTACAAATGTTCTCAATTATTTCGATCGTTTTCCTTTGGGTCGTTGAAAACTATTAAAGATACGAAAAGTCAAACTGATGATGATTGTAACTGTAATAGCTTTCTACATACTTCGGAGGTCAAATGACATTAACATAGGGGCAATCGATTGACGATAAATTTTTATTCCGCTTTAGCTCATAAAATGCTCTATTGTAGTTTATTAATGGGACTATTTTTGTGTATTTTTTATTAACCGTCAAAAAACAGTTAAAACTGTGCGAGATGCATGTGTCTTCGACGAGTAAGTTAATTACGTAGACCTTTCGAATCGTAAATGAACGGAGTTTTCACAAGCTTTCCTCTCCATGGTGAATAAAGATCGGAGGCAGTCTTTCGGTTGAGGTGGAAGTTTTCATTTTCTCGCATACTACTTGGGTGATGTAGAACAAATTATTGTAATGTTGCGGGAGAAACGGGCATTTTACTACAGAAAAACTTGCATTGAGAGATCCTGATACCGAAAAAATGGATATTTTTACGACTCCTCTAATACGTTGCGTACTCTAACTACACTTTCCATGTTACGGAACAAATGGCTTCCTGTAACGAGTGTTATTCCGTCTGCCTATCCGTGTGTGTACAGTGTTAGATCTTAAGTTGTTCAGACGACATTCCCCAAAATTGATATTCGCTATTGGTCAGGCCAAATGTGAGACTCTGCAAATTCGAAACGAATATTTTGATTTTGGGAGCCCTTTACATAATATCCTACTATTTTGAGAACTTTCTGAAAGTAGCTAGAAATTTATTTTTTCGGACAGTGTGAAAGTTTAAAACACAGCGCAAGTCAAAATTTTGATGAACACTTCCAATTTTTAATTTTCGTTAGTTGAAACTAGTGCTACTACAACAACACATTTTCTAGCAATATTTCTAGTATTATTAGACTACACGTTTTTTCAAAAAAATGCACATTGTCTTTTTAAGGAGCTTTTTTAAGAAGGAATTTTTTCAGATTTGTTTAAGGCAAAAATGCCTATCTACAATTTTGTAATTTTCAAATTACGTAATTTTTGAAAATACAGAGAGAGCGACGGAAATGACACTAGCATAAGTTTTTACGGTCCTTTTATGCATGTGAGGAGAAAATTTAAAGAAACACTTGCAGCCGTTTTGGAGAAAAGATGTTAATTTTTTTTTTAAATTGCCTATATTTCACACAAAATTACGCATAGTGTACCCACGCTTGTAAAAAAGTGCATATGACCATATTCAAGATTTATCTTTATACAGCAGATTTCATAAATGAAAAAATGTATATCTTCGATATCGTAGGTGTGGGAATGTGCTCCCCTCCCAAATGGCACTTTTGCAATTTTCGAAAATAAGGGAATTGAATGAAATTGAGGTCTGCATATCATTTGAAACGTCATATTCCTATCCGAGAACAAAAGTTAATAAAACAATTTGGAGCAATTTTGGGGAAAATTTTGAAAATGTTTTAAGGCTCAGTCAGACGTTTTGCCGTCAATCGAATATGCGGTTCCAAGGACCCTCATAAAACCCATTGCGGATACACCACCTTCTACAGGAAGTAATTTACTAAATATGGAAATACAATTTACCTACTTTTTCGTGACCAGGGGCCAGAAATACAAGTTTTTGTGTTTAAAATTCGTCGTTTTCCGCCGCACAATTCCAATATTTCCCTTCGTACAGACGTAGGTCTTACTTAAGGGCGCAGAAGTAAATATTAATTTCTCTGTATCAGGAGTCCGCAAAGCTAATATTTCCTTTAATGTCTTGAAATCGATTTGCCACACCACTAAGTAATTTTTCCTCCACTGAATATAATACTTCGTCTAATGTAAAAACACACACGTGTCCATTATAGAAACACAAACAATAAAAACACTACGATCACCAGACCAGCCCCCGTAATGTCTAGAGTGCACCACTTGACTGATGACAAGTTGCTTTACTGCTTGCGTGTTCACGCAGCCGATTCGTTTGCATTATCAGTGAATGTTTGGCTCACACGGGCTCGATATAAAGAACGAGCGGGCGGGCGGGACGTTAGATCCAAGGCCAACTGCTGGAGAAGGACGTGTGAGCGTTGGCCGCCATGAAGACCGCTCTCAGCATGGCCCTGGCGCTGTGCCTGGGGGCAGCCGTACGCGCCGAACAGGTAAGAATGGGCCCTCGACGACGTACAACATTTTTTCAGTATTCAGCTCACGTTTCATTAACGAAATGAACTTCTTTTATGACAATATTCCATTCTTTATTATCTATCAAATGTTATCTTGGAACTTTCTAGAACATAATTATAATCTCATCCATAATCATGATAATAATAATAATAATAATAATAATAATAATAATAATAATAATAATAATAATAATATGGCTATTATTTAAAGTATTAGTTTAGTATATTAAAATGTGAGAATAGTGTAGGTCTTATATTCATTAAATGATGCCTGGTTTTTACAACATTCCACCAGTTAAAAATTTGTTCGGCGCCTTCCCACAACTACAATTATGAAGACAAATAGTTTTCTTTTAATGAAATGTGTTCATCAAAAACAGATCTCTAAATAATGTCATGATCAATTTTTCGAAAATTTTAGTATTTTTTCCAAACTTTTGTGTCAAACATAGACAATTTTTGAAACCATTTTTTCTTAAACAGGGCGCAAAGGTTGTTTGCCCTCGCAGGGTGTAAAGGTCCCTTAAGAGGTAGGAGGACGCCGGTTTCGTTTTCGTCCAAATCCTTGATTTCTCGACAGTTAAAAGAGTTTAACATATTTTCGCCGTCTTCCTACATTTATTACGAGGATACATTCTTTTTTGCTCAATAAAACAGATCTTCAAAGGTCACATTGAATTTTTCGAAAATTTGAGTATTTCGTTGTGTAATTTGCTGTCAAACATTGTAGCTCGCTTCGAATTTCCTGCTCTTCGTGAACGTAATTTGAGAAGTGCTTGGAGGAAATTGATCCTATGTAAGTTAGAATTTGTACAATATTTCCAATTTTATTGTTATTCGAGATTTTTTTATACGTTAACAAATTAATATTTTAGAAATGATTTGAAACATATTTAATATCCATAATTTTTTCCATGTTGCGAGAAGTGTATTTTCATTCTCGATGTTCTGATGTATTTTCTTTCAAGCAATCGGCAAATCTTACCGTAAAGTATCCCAATTAGGTTTTCTCTCTTACGATTCTGATTCAAATGTGTAGAAGAAAAGTTGCTAGCCTTCAGGAAATATCAGATTGGAATGTGACAAAAGAATCCCCCCCCCCCGCGTGAAGGGAACTGTAGATTTGTGAATTCCGTCTGATTGCTGGGACACGATTTACCTGTATGAATCGCAGTTTTGATTGTGAAACCATTACTAAATTAGTTGCTGCTTTATTTTACGTGGCGAGACTCGGGCCATAAGGCCCGCTCTTCCGTCTGACCACGCAAATTTCGCTACGCTCCTTTCACCAACTAGCGAAGAAAGGAGATATTTCTTGGGCGACGAAACAGGCGATTTGAATTTAGCTAAAAGGCGTCATTTAGGCTTGAGATCTTTTCAATGCATTTACTACATGGGACAGCCGGAATTACTTCCACTCCAAATGTTTCTTTTCGGTCTTACAAAGACAGGGGTTTGATCGGGTTTATTTGGGTTTGAACCCGCAATCTTGAGTACAGCAGCTGTAGTACATAACGCTGTCCGTTAAAACACCCAGCCCGCTAAAAGATAGAAAGTATGTGCTAGATTTTAGTAAAATATGTTCTTTTTAATTAGATCTATAAATAAAGTGATGTAAAACGTTTTGAAAATATGAGTAGGTCCTGGTTTTTGCAATATTTTGGATTATGACAAATTTTAAAAATTATGAAAACAAAGATTCAATTCTGCATAGTTTTTTTTATTTTTGAATTTTTATGTTTTTATTTCAGTTTAATTTTCGAAATAATTATAAACGTTGTCATTGCCAACAATAGTATTTATTGCAAGAGCAGCTTTCGATGGCTTAGCCATCATCATCAATTGTCTGCTGAATGGAAGCCAAAAAACGACTCCCTTGCTCTGAAAAATGCCACCGATAACGCACCACAACACCTATATTAATTTTCGAAAATTGACACGTTTTTGTTAAGGCGCCGGATAAGTGATTTTCTTAGCGCAAATATTGTTATTAATTTGTGGATTCGAGAGGAAGAGTCGATGTTTATTCATTTTGAAAATGGCTCAGAATAATATAACTTTATAACGTAATTGTTATCAATCACATGTTCAATGTCATTAATGAATTGTAACGTTGAATTATTTTTAGAAGTTGACAATAATAATGAACAGATACGATTTCAATTATTAAAACTCAGTATTGGTTTTGTCTGTATATGAAGTTTGAGACTTCTGTTGTTATATTACAAAGTCGTAGCATTCTTATATTTTCTACATTCATACATTATAACAGAGTACCAATTTACAATTATACTTGTATCTAATATACTCGGTTGAGAATGTACTGGAATCTTTAAACTTGTACGACAGGGCCCCTAAATTTACTTCCTTAAATATGCGAGTAGCTAATACCCAAAACCTGTAGGTTAAAACCGTCGGAATAATGATAAGTTTGTGCCGTTGCGTTCCCTCTCTGCTTTGCGCAGCCGCAGTCTCCCGAGAGCGCCTCCACCCCGGAGCTGCCCGTGCAGATCGTTCTCCTGCAGAAGCCAGACGCGGACGATGCCGCGAGGGTCCTCAGCAAAGTCGTGAGCCGTGAGTAACCGGAAAGACTGCGGTATAAATAGTATTACTTAACCATTACTAAGGACAAGAACGTATGTGCTATTTCAGCGCCACAATTTTTTCAAATTATTTTGTTTTCGCATTCATGAACAACATTGGATAGCCATAAACCATTTTCCCCAAAAATAATACTTTCCAATTGATCTGCCTTGACAAATTCAGCAAATTTGAAATCAATCTTTAATATGGAGTTACTCTGTATGAAGCTCCTACGAAGTTCCAACATTTTCACATTTTGAGGATAAAGGCTTGCTAGAACAGGGCTAAGGACGCTCGTTAAAATGGGTCAGATTAGGCAATACCTCTGAGTTCTTACAATTTCAAAAGCAAAAAAATATGATCACCCTCTTGCAAAAAAATTATTGAAGATAGACACATCATTCTCAATGAAATATATTATTAATAATTAAATCTTTAAATGAAGTCATGGACAGTTTTTCAAGAATATTTTTGCGTATGTTTGAATTAAACAAAGGAAATTAAAATTAGTGGTATTACTGAATGGCACAAACTTTCTTTAACTAATTCGCTTTCTAATCCCTTTACTCTAGGTTACTTTTTTGCTATGATCTCACCCAGCTGCTACCTAAAGTCAATTGATAACGATATTTCAATTTTTGTTTTTTAACAGTTGAATTGAAATTTTACTTTAAGAATATTATAAAGAGCTAAACATGATCCTATATCTAAAAAATTAATTTACAAATTTGGAGCCTTTTGACACAGTGACTTCTGAGTGTCTCTGGATATGTGCAAAATTGCACACTTTCACAGAAAATATTTGACTTCTCGAAAAACTTTACAAGACATCATTTGAAGTAAATATGCATGCAAATGCAATCTTTTTTGGTTTTCTTATTTTTATTTCCTCTGACCAGTATAACTGCTTGATTGTTTTTGTAATAAATTATAAAATGACTACAATGAAATTATCAATGACATGAGAGATATTAAAAAAAAACATTTCTGTTATTTTTGAAAAATCAATAAATACATCAAAGTGTCATTTATGTATTGTTTATTTCATTGTGCACTACCCACTAAACTGTTAAACAAAAAATATCGACCCGTTTTTCAAAAATATTTGTTGAAGCATTTTTAAAATGACAGATTTTGTGCTGATTTTCACAGGAAAATTTGTAATTTTCGAAAAATTCCATCAGAAATCATTTAAAACAATTGTATTCACAAATGTAATACTATATAAACCCTAAATAAAAACAAATAAAGTGAGGATTTTAAAAAATTGCAGTTGTGGAATTTAAAAAAAAATTACAAATCATTCATCAAAATGACGTGCGTAAACGACAAAGAAAAATGTGGAGGCGTTTTCGAGAAAATATTGTTTTAAAAATGCTTTTACTTCAGGTACAATTGAGCGAAAACTTCTTCAGAAAAAATGATAACGCCCTTGAGACTATTGGGTACAAGATTATTCGTACGGTTTAGATGGAGTGATGATTAGGAAGAAAGACAGACGGGCGGGAGAGAGATAACATTTACCCCAAGCAATTCTTTCACCTGCGAAAATCCACGAACTGTGGATGCTGGCAACAGAGTGCGTTAGAGAAAGTAATTTTAATGGAGCATTAGACAACGTTCATCTTTCAGTCCGTCACAGACTGCCGTCGAGTCAACATCGCGCTGCGCTGCGCACAGTGACAGCACAGTGATACGCAGTGAGCTTGTGACTTTCCTTAGTCTGCGTGTTAATTGTGGACAGTTTTACCTTATCCAGTCTTAACAGGGTACTCTCAACTATTGTAGAAGTATAAAACGGTCAGTAATTTCTTCTCACTCTCTACGAGGGGAGAAGTATGGGAACTCATTCGGAAATGAACGCATTTTCGGTCTGCAGGGAAGTGCCTCTTTGATTACGAGGAGCTTATATCTCCCGCTTCCAGGTCAACCTTTCAACGGGACAGACACAATTTACTGGATTGGTAAATATCGTACAAAATTTCTAATTTCCGGACAAAGAGCAAAGGTTGAATAAATTAAATTGGGGAAAAGCTACAGTACATCTTCTACAAAAGGTATGTAGAAGCCTTTAGCTACATTGTTGTCACCACTGAAAATAATATACCCGCACTCTCCAACAATCCATAGAATACATGCACAGACGTGTGCATCTTTCTGTAGCAAGTATAGTTTCAATTATTTGTTGATTGAAGTACTCCGGATAATGTTATTAACCAAGTCTTGGATATAACGGATGGAAATGAACAAAAGATTCATTTTGCGACCAATTCTTGTCAGTTTTATCCGCGCCCAATTCTTTGCAGTTAGGTCGAGCTCAGTTTTTTCAACAGGGTTCGTTTTAAATATCTCACAATGTAATCCCTCATCCTGTTAAAGTTAATTCTGACGAA